TTTTAAGGTTCCAACGCTTACAGGTGTACCATCCATATCTATCGCAAGACCGATTCGCGATACGTTGGGAGCACTTAACTAGGCAGTGCGGGCTTATGTGGCTACCGTATAGTCTAATGATTAGGGTGTGTGTTTCCAGATTTGTGTGCTCCAGCTCAAATTGTTCCGATTATCACTTGCTTGTATGAAATGCTCACGCGCATGCTAATCACCGCTTTGGTTCGTATGAGGATCTAAAAGCTTAATCATCAGACACGCTTAGTTCCATTAACACGCATTCACTGAGCAGCGCTTCATTTTTTACGAAGAAGGCTCGATGGCTCGTTTGTTTCGAAAGAGCAACAGTTTGCTAGTCGTGCCGTCCGGACGCTCTTAGATGTGCAAAGTGTGCAGCTAGCGATTGTCACTATACTACTGCAAATAATATATTTTTTCTACCAAATTTTATAATATAAACGATAATGCCGGTGATGTGTCAGATGTGTCCTGCTTACGACAAAGACTAGTCGTTGATAATTGAATTTGAATACATTGAATAAAATAGCTTTTACCTTGTTGCGTCTTATAAATCTTTTATTTTTCCAACTGTTTTGTAAAAATATTTTCAACTGATATGTCAAAGTAGAAAAATATGAGTTTTACACTGAGCAGCAGGGCTACGATTTGAATTACTCAACTCGATGGGTCAGCTTCTGTTGATTTGCCGACTTCCAGGGGAAGATATGGATTATATACAACATAAAATAAAATTTGGTCAAAACCGAATATACTTTTGTTTTGTTTTTTTTTAGACCTTTCTACGTTTAAGGAAAGTCGGCTCGAAAATAACGAATTCTAATGCATTTGTTCTTTCCGATTATACTGATTGCTAAGCTTAAATATGATTTAATTTAATCTTTAAAAATTACAATTAAATGCGAAAATAAATTTTACTTCTTAACTTAAATCTGATCGAAAGAAGGAAAATTAAAAATGTATTACTAATATAAATATTATTAAAGTATTTTTTATTATTTTAAAGGAAAATCTCTAAATCTTATTACTATTGTGTTTCATTCTTTCATCAAACAAAACTAAAAAAAAAATAAATAAATAAATAAGAAAATAAAAAAAAAAAAAAAATATATAAGAAATATACAAAAATCTCGTAAAGCCATTGAAATAAATTGAAAGAATACTCTCTTGTAAAGATAAATAATAAAAAACAAAATAAAAAATTTTTAGGAGCACAACTTAGTTTCATCATCATCAACTAACTACTGCATAGTCTAGGCAGTCAAACATGCAATGTGCAGCGGTGATATTGTGTATAGTTTGCGGGTGTAGAGAGAAAGAAACTTTTCATATAAAATTTTCAATACCGTAAATCTTCCTTTAATGAGACGTCGTCAGTTGCTTTGCTTTCATTCTTTACAAATTTTGCAATGAAACGGAAAAAGTCACACAATCGAAAAACAACAAAAGAAGAATAAATATGCACCCAGAGACGTAAATGAACTAAAATAGAAAAGTGAAATCCGATTTGAAGTATTTTCAAGATTATTAAATGCAGGTAGATTGAAAAAAAAAAAAAACATTAGCATTACATGTAATATTCACATAGTTAGGGAATTTTCAACCAACTCTTTGTACTTTTTCTTTAGTAAAATTAAAATATATATATATATATATTTTTTTTTTTTGGCTTTTGGAACTGATTTAAATCAAATTTTTATTTATCTATGAATGTTCCTCAACCTCCTCAACCAAAGCCATAAACACAGTGTGATGGAATCACCAGAAAGCAAAACTAAGTCACTATATGGTAAACAATTTGAATGTTTGACTTTTAGTTTGTTTGATTCATGGATAATAAATGAGCTACGTATGCCATCTATTCTGAATGCTTCAGTAGCCCGGCTCGTTTTCTGTTAATGGCTGCAGCAATAATGACAATAAGAACTTTTACTCAAGCTTAAGCCGAAAGCATGCTACAGTTAAATTGTGACTATAGCCAAATTGAAACCACTTCGTCCTCTTTTACTTTTCAAATTGCATTCGTTTCGTAAAAGTTTCCTATAGATTTTTAATACATTTTCAGTGGGTGTTTCCCTTCATTTCCAAACACAGCAACGTTAACGTTGTTGCTTTCAAAGTTCATGAATAAAATAATCGTTCTCTACTTGCTGTTTCACCATTGTCTGTCAGCCAGAGACGTAACTTCAGTAATTTTACTTATTTCCGTTTTAATATTAAAAAATTCAAAATTTTCATTGAAAGACGTACGATCACGTTAATAACATTAGACAAGTAGCAGTTAGTCATTGTGTTGTAGTTGTTATTTGACCATTATTGGATTCGTCTGTTATTCTTGAGATTTGTTCAGTTAATTGGTATAACTATTTTTGGAGTTCTCCAAAGCATCAATTTAATAGGAGTCCAGTGATTTTTTAATTTGTAGTACTCACTAGCAAACTAATATCACTTCTGATAGGAAAAACTATTTTTAAACTGTTAACTAAATCGTTAACTGAAATATCTTTAGAAAATGAATTATTATTGAATATTTTTACATTTAATTATAAGAAGTAATTTACATATAAAACTTCCCCAAAACAGATGGGCAATTGTATCTAACTTAACCCACGTATATGGTGCCTTTGTTTAGTGAAAAGCTCTCACCGGCGATCACGGGAGGACTTTGACGCATCCTCAGTTGACGGTAAGACTAAGAAAGGTGGCACAAGATCAGATCTTGCCATCCGCCCATACGTTCATACAGCACTACTTGTTCGCCATACAGCCCATGCGGCTATCGTAGAGTCTTGGAATGCCCGTCTCCCCGTTTACATTCATACTATCCCACTCGTTCTTATCACCTTTTATCTATGTCGATTGGCCGTGCACTTATTAAGTAGCCCTTTGGACCATAGGAATATGTAAAAAAAAACCCACCCAATGATTGGCTCTAGGGAAGATTTTTAAAGTACTGGCATTGCCATATGACAGGTTGGAAAAATGTAAAGCCCGCACTGGACAATACGTAGAAGACTTCATGCATTTCATGCATTTTCTAGGCAAAAATTCAAGTTATTATGCATGTTGACACACACGCAACATAAGGGCAGTTGGCAAAAAATATTGCAATTATTTTTTTAACAACCTAATAATTTGCATTAATCTTTTTACAAGAATTTACTAAATTATTCTCTAAACACAAAAACATAATATTTTTATTTAATTTTGAATTTTTTATAATCATTTCCCTCCCTATAATTTTATTCATTTTAAAATGCATATAATTAATTACAAAAGAGCGCCTGAGGGTTCAACAAAAATAATAAAAAAAAAAAGAAATAATATTAAAATGGTTGGAAAACCATTCAGTAATTATTTCAAAATAGTTAACTCATTATAAATAGACAGAATTGCAAAAAAAAAAAAAAAAAAAAAAAATATTAGGAATCATAATAATACATAATTTAAACGGAAGAAATAAAATGATAGCAACAATTATAATGGTAAGTAGAATGTTGATGATAATGATGATGATGATGATGATGATGGGATGTGAGAGAGAGTTATTATTATTTGCATTTATAGTTAAAATTAAAGTAGCGGAATCAATTCATTTAAATGGTTGGGTGGCCAGATTAAATAATGTGCAAATGTGAAATGAAATCTCAAAGCAGTAAAGAGTGAAATGTAAATGAGTTTTGCAGCGGAAGAGCTGAAAAAACATTCGTATTTAAAAGTGCTAAACAAACACATTCTCTCTCAAAAGGTAAATGAATGAAATTCAACAGACCCATAGAGAGGAGAGTACTTTGAAATGGGGAAAATAAACACATGACAAAAGTATGCTGACGCTATAGATGATGATGATTATGACGATGGCATAGCAGTACTATGCATAGTGTAGACTAACAAAAGCAAATATAAATAGACATAGATAGATAGAGATAGATGTTGGCGGTACGAGTTAAAAGGAATTAAAAATTAAGTATACACACGTACGTATTTGTTCACAAAAGACAAATAAACAATTCCAAGTTCTTTTTGAATGCTTTTATGAGTACGAGTGTGTGTAGTAAATGCAATGAAGTCAGTCAGCTTTCGATATGTATAGTTTATTTAAATACACAAAACATACGCAAAAAAGCCTTTTGTATATGTGCAAACCTCATTATTGCTGTGTTACATTGCTGCTTCACGTTGCTTCACACTGCTTCACACACTAACACACTAACGGATCGCTTCAACGCTGGGGCAATCAGCCGCCAACGTCACAACCACCGAGTACTTTTTAAGTCAAACGGTTTCCTCTTGTTTATCTTGCGTTAATGAAGTTGTTTTACCTTAAATTCACTCGACATTTTTGACTCACGGGTATACGTATACAACAACAACAACATTAAAAAAAAAAACAAAAAACTTGCAACGAACGGGGAACTGGGAGTAGCAATATAAAGAGCTTATACACAAATAATTTCAGTAAATGAAAAACAAAAAAAAAAAAAATAAGAAACTGTTTCGTACCGACTCAACAGATGAGAGGCCAGGAATGTGTGATTATAGTTTTGCATCGTTTGCACTTTGCTAACAGCCGCCCGGTATGTGCGTCTGCCTTAAGAATTTCGCATTTTTGCAATGTCAGCAGCCAACAGGAAAAATATGAATTTTTTATATACACGCACATATAGGTGTAGATGTACATAAAATTTATTTAAAAAAAAAACAAAAAAAAAAGAAGAAGTAAACATTCACAAACAAGAGTTGAGGCAACCATCTGAGTAACCTCCGGATAATTATAGAGTCAAAAACGGCTGCTACCGGCAGCGGTAATGTTATGTCGTTTTTCTTTATTACGTTCTTCGTGCATTCCGTTTGCTACACGTTTTTACATTTTCACATTTTTTCAGGTGTCACTTTTCCCCGTCTGTGTTCAACTATTAATTTTGTTGTTCATTAATATTGGTTTGATGTTGTCTTCTTTTTTTTTTTCAATATTTTGCTCCTACCTTGAGAAAAAATAATCCTCCGGCTGGCAGGGTAATCCGGTGTGAACCTGGCAATATTTTCAATGGTACTCTGTCTTTATACCATTGTATGGTTGGTATCGGTGAACCTTCCGCTTTACAATTAAGCGTCGCTGGCTCATGTCTCGGTACGGTGGTGTCGATGGGATGTTCCACTATTCGGGGCGGATGTGAACCTGTAAAGAATTTCAACAAAAAATAAGAATATAAAAAATGAATGAAAATGAAATTTCAAATTACATACATGCATACATACATACGTACATAAATACATTGAATTAAAACGAGTGGATGTAAAAAGGCTCGGAATGGAACGAATTTCTTTAAATTTTTACGAATTTACGTAACCACATCGCTAAAGCATCAAATTTTGCTTTTGCAAGCTTTCGCTTTCACCTTTAGCTTTGCTCTTCTTGTTCATAACGCACAATATTACATATTAGCTTGAAAAAAATTTCAGATAATTTCGAGTTTCTCTTTAGCAACTGCAATTTCGCGCTATATCCCCTAACCCCTAGCGGTTTAACACAGACGGTGGCGGTTAGAAGAAAGGAAAAAGGTGGTCGTTGGTTAGTGGGTGCCTGTAAGTATTATGCCTTTACCGATTGGCTAAAAGGAAGTGTGATCAAGCTGTACTGAGATTTTTTATTATAATTGATATTATATGGGCATAGCTCGTGGAAGGGAGTCCCACAGCGAAAGTTGGAGTGAGAGAACAGAATTTCGAAAATGCTTTCTTGCAATTAAAAAATATTTTTACTTTCCTTAAACCCAAGCAACAACAAACTTATAATTCTTCAATTATCTTTGAAGATCTATTTCCTGGCCTTTCATCGTCTAATAACCGTTATTATCATCAACTCTAATCCTTTCACTTATACATCATGTTTTTTTTTTTTTTTTTTTTTTTGTAAATCGCTTTAAAAGCCACATATACTTAATTATACTTCACTTTTATCCCACCTAGCATGATATACATTTTTAACAATCATTACTTAGTTGGTAGTGTACTTTAATTTTGTGCTAATATTTTCTTTTGTTTTTACTTTGATTATAGTTTAGTTTTTCAGTTAGTAAAGAATTTTTTCTTTTTTTTTTTTCTTTCTTACATGTTTGCAATGATTTCCTGTTGAACTAAGAAATTATGTGAAAAATTCCTTAAATGCATAGAGAAAGTTGGTATAATAATAGCAAGAAACATGCAATATATTGAAGAAGGACTCACACACATTCCCCTCCAGAGTTGACATAAAAAACAATATAATCAGGAGCTCAGATTTCATAGACATACATGCATAAGGTTTTTGTTATTTCTTCTAATAAACAAGTTTATATGCATGTGTTCTTTAATTGGTCATGTACTGATTTGCATATGGTAAACATAGGTTTTTTTTGAAACTAGGTTTAGTAGTCGGAAACTCAAATGTTTACAAGAAAAACAATTACTTAAAAAAAAAAAACCTTCTAAAAAAAGAAAAATTTGAAATTGAATTTTTTCTCTTTGCAAGTCAATTACAAATAATCCGGTAAATAATAGTTCTGAAGATGGACAAAAACCAACCCGAACCCTTATTTTAGTTTTTAAACTAAAGTTTTTTCTTAAAAAATTTAATGCCTTCTTTTTTGTGTATAATTAAGAACTCAATGGACGTGAGTTCAAATCTGAAGTACAGGAGAGTCTTCAATAAAACCGACAACTTTAGATGCTGGCGATTTACGACTTAGTCTTACTTCCCGGGCTAAATACATAGCAACATTATAATTAACACATTATGGCGTCATTTTCATGCCTCGGTACAATTGAGTTTTATTTCGGAAAAGAACCACTAAACAGGATCTTTTTTTCATTTTTTGCGCTTGCTTTTGTAGGGAGTGCCGACTGGTATGTATGTGGGGAGAAAATTTACACAAATTGCTCAAGAGAATAGATAATGCCGTTACAAAGTGTGATCAGATGACAGCTGCATATATGTACCACGCAGGAGGACACTGATTTAGAAGGATGGACCCACCTTCTACTACACCCATCGATTTAGAATCATTTTCCAAAGATGAACATTTTCTGAATCAATCTAAGTTTTTCTGTCTGCCAAAGACGAAGGTCTTAATCGGGTCATGTCAGTTGACGGTTTGGACATCCTCCAATAGGAGGGCTTCATTGCAAGTGTGCTTTTACATGAAAATAATGTAACGTTATTCGCGTATTATTATGATGAAAACGAATGAATTAGACGAAGTTGGTCGGATGTTTAATGTGTGGCCTTGTTTCTACTTGAAAAAAAGGCGTCTACATTTTCTGTTTTCCTTTTAAGTCTTACTTCTGAACGGCTCAATTTCATTTTTTTATTCCAGAAAATGCAAAAAGAAAGAAAACTTGCATCAATAGGATGAAACTTTCGAATTTGATTAGCTTGTATAAGGTAATCAAATAAGATTTGTTTTTTTTGAACGTCATATCGCCCAAGTACCTTTTTTAGATTCTCACTTAAATTGCCATCTGTGTGCAGTATCGCATTATGGAAATATACCATCATAAAATAGCCTACGCAACACTGCACTTATTCGTATAACGAATTTTCAAAATAGGGCGCTATATACCAAGTGCCCGAAAAAATAGCTCGGTCCAAACTATTTTGAATACCGCTCGTCTTTGGGCCAAAACAAGTTACAGTGCCAAATTTCATTAAAATACCCCAAAAATGACAGCTTGCAGGTAAAGCACACGAAAGCAAAACGAACAAACGCGCACGCAAGTAATGCTTGAAAAAAATATATTAAATACCATATACGTGCGATATGATAGACTAATTGGTTCTCCTTTCCTTTAAACTATTAATAGCTGGAAGGTATTGATTGTCAAACATAAAAGACCAGCTTAGCATTTTAATTAATTAACGTTAACCATTGAACTTTATAATCGAATCAGATTCAATGATTATATACCAATGCCTTAGAGAATCAATCATGAATTAAACTAAAGTTAAAAAAAAAAAAGCTGCAAAATGTTTATTATAAAAAAAAAAACTTGGAATTTTAAATTTCTTGCGCTCCAGTTGTTGAATATCGTCGTGCACAGATTGTTTCATATGATGCTTGCGCTGTTCACGTAAGCAAACTTGTTTACATAGCTGAGCATATATGTTATGATTGTCTCTACAACATGATTGTTTTGTAATTACAAACTCGCTTATAAACCTAAGCACCTAGGTACATGTATACATGCATCTATAGTTCTCCTATTTTCATTTTCTTCCTCGGAACGAATATATGGCATAATTGCCGCTTACTTTGCTGACACAGAAAGCAACGGCAGCAACAACAGCAATAGCAATAGCAGTAACTATATACTCCCTCCATATACTCTTTAACTTGGCTATGCATGTCTGCGTAATGATTTTAGTTAGTGAACGAGAAAGGCCTGAGTAAAAAAAGGAAGAAATAAATATAGTTGCGGTAACACAAAAATTGCCATAAAGTTTCTAGGTTGGCAAAAATTATGCCAAAATGCAAATTTAAGCTATACACGAAAGACTAACACAACAAAAATATACCAACATAACCGACCAAACGTGGCAGGCATACAAACACTAATAGGGGAATACATTAGGATGGTTTGTGTGTATGCAAGTAGAAGAAGTGTTTTTCTCTTAAGAACGAAAAGTAAAGAGTATGTTGTGTTGTGTTGTGTTATATCCTCCGTATATATTATCGATTGTTTATAAAACCCGTTACTCTTTTCACTCGGCTTTATATCTAGAATTAGGTGTATTTGTAAGCCAGCGTAATTTACCAAGCATATATACATACCATATGCTTGGTATATATATGTATATATATATAAATCTTTTTTCATATAAACGTGCTTGCATCTGCGCCTCTTGAATACGGATTATTCAACAGATAAATTACGGCTATGCCGAGTGCAATGAAACTTTTTTTTTGAAGTAGAACAATACATATCTACATATGTATATGTATGGTTAGGTATGTATGTGTCTACTATGTATGTATTATCTATCTACAATGTCAACAAAAAAGTTCGCGGCGTCTTTTCATATAAATGATGTAAAGTTGCGCAACACTCTTAAGTGGAACTCTAGAGCGTTTTAAAAGGTCACAATCCTTAGAATAAAAGAATTTGAAGATTTGATTAACTTGTGAGGCTAGTCAGCTAGATTTTTGATTTTTTAAAACCGATGGGAAATTTCGTGCTGGCTATGGCAAAGATTCTTTATCAAAATCAATAGCACATATATAATTATCTTATTTTCGCACGAAAAATTTCAATATTGAAGATGTTTTTGAATTCTTGAGCGGATCAGACTTTAAGTGGTAAGCAGTGAAATTCTGCAAAAATTTCACTTCATGACACCTCTATAATCCTACATGCTAGCTAAAACATAATCTTGAACCCTGGGTACTAGGTTGAAATAATGCTTAGTCAGTGGAATTGGAATAGAATTCTTCACTCCCTTCTACTCATTATTGACTAAAATGATTGATTTTAGTCTCCACCTTCGCTACTCTTAGGAACTTGCGCGATTAAAGCGAAGGCCCCAGAATTGATCTATAAAAATGGCGTCGTCTTCTCCCAGAACTATATACATTTTTGGCGATTCGTTTGCGAACTTTATTGGTGTATGGTTGTGTAGTTCAGTTGTAGGACTTTCTTATCTGTGTAAAATTGACTACAACGAGGCCTATAAAGCTCTTTTGAATTATTTTTTGCTTGGAAACCTCAAAAACTATACAATGACCGCTTAGGAATATTATCGGAAAAATGGCAAAGCCTTATCAATCATAACGGCACACATTCGCTTTAATAAAATTCATTAAAAATACAAAACCAACTTGTTTTGAAATTTGATAAAAAACGCCACAAACTTTGTCCTCTGGTTCAAATTGGCTCATTTATAATTTAAAACCTGGTACGAAGATAATATTCGGCTATGATCGAATCTTTTATGCCCACACTTTTACTCTAAAGGAAAAAGTCGAGAAAAACTAAACCTCAATGATTCATAATATTAGGTGGGGTTTTTTCGATCTGTAACAACACTCAAATTTTTATCGTTGCATCTACTGTAGGTTATGGGTAATGAGCAGGAAACCATCTCTTCATTTTGAAAGCAGAGGTGTTCTTAGTACTATAAGGCCGTATTTTGACTGTTTGGCT